GCACAGGCGCTGCCGCTAAGACGCTAGCGCTGCAGTCCCAGGGACCGCTCGCGACCTCCTTTTTTCATTCACAAAAAAAGGAAAGGGAAAAAAAAAGAAAAAAGAGGGAGGTAAAAAGGGAGAAAAAAATCGCACCCAGGACGGCTGCCTGACACGCCCCACCCACCCTGCAGCTCTGTTGGTGGAAAGGTGTCGGGGGGGCGGGGAAGGGGTGGGGAGAGGACGGGATTGGGCGCCCAGCGGCCCCGCCCAGCGGCGCCTCTCCCTCCCCGCCTCCCTCCTCTCCTCCCTCCTCCACCGCCCTGGAGCGGAGCTGCTGGGAGGGTCTCGGTTGGTCTCTGGCGCCGGGTCCCTCTGCCTGGCAAGGCCTGTAACCTCCCTAGACGCCTACGTTTCCCCTTTCCTCCGGGAGGCCGAGCAGGAGCTCGGAGAGGCATCCTTGAGAGCCCTGGAAGGGCTTTTCTGAGTTGCGGGGTGGGTATCCGTTGCTACCTCACCTGCCTCCCACCTAGGCCTCCAGCGATCCGCACTGCCATCCTGAAGCCACTTGGAGCTCATGTCTTCCGACCTTGGAAATAAATGCCAGGAAGACACTAGGGCTGTGTCGGCTTACCCCTCCGTGAAATGGGCAGGCCCCAGGGGTAACATCAGGAGCAACAGTGGTCCTTGCGAAGACGTTTCCTATTCTGACCGTTGTGATAAGCTTGACGGGTAGTAATTCCGATTGTCCACCCAGCCTGGTTTTATCCATCCCATTCATTACTTCTGGGCAAATTTTAAAGCCCAGACTGGCATGCTTCATCACACCTCTGATGTGTGCTCCAGGAATACGAATCTAATATTACTTTAAGCAAAGTATGATTAGTAAGAAACTTACTGTAAAAAGAAAAGCCAAATAAAAATGCATTTTACATTGCCCAAAGCATGCTTCTTCTCCACCAGGGGACCTGATGGGAAACTGCCCACCCAGCTGTGCATGACAATGCACTTTCCCACGTGGCCAATGCCCTGTAAGTGCTGGGTGGTTGGAGGAAGCTTCCCTGTCTCCTACGAATCTACCTAAAGGAGAGAAGAGGTTAACAGTGTTTGAGGGAGCTTCTTACTTCACACTCAGGATAAGACAGCCTCCATAAAACAGAAAGCACTAGCATGAATTTGTATTAGGAAGGGAATTCAACCCCTCGAGGCCTTTCTCCTGTGTGTTTGGTGTTAAGGAGCTTCACCCTGACCTCTGAGTCACTGGCGAGGCACAGTGTGAGTGTGAGGTCTCTGCATGGCTCGACTACAAGCCAGGGCCTTCCCCACTAGTGCCTCACTCCCTCTACTCAGCTCAGAGACCGTCTGAGCACTCTTGCCTGCTGGTGGCACTTTTGACGTGTCCTGACAGCAGGTCACCCAGTGCAGCACGGAATTGGAGAAAACTCCCCTTTGCCCAAAGTCATGGGGGTGGGGGTGGCTGTAAGGTGGCTTGGAGTGGGGTGTGGAGACCCACAGTTCCTGACTTGCAGGTGGGAGGCCCCAGCCTCAGGAATGACTGGGAGAACATCCTACAATGATGAAGCCAGTGCCCCTTTGTAAACGTTGAGGAAACAGCTAAGCCGGGCAGGACAGTGGGGGGCCAAGGGCCAGGGAGGGGGGCAGGAGCACCTGCTCACTCAGGAACTGAACTCAGCCAGCCGGTGCTGGAGGCTTTGCTGAGGAGCTGGGTTTGACTCCACCCCATCCAAGCTCCACTCCAGGCTGTCTGGGGTTTGCACAGACCTCTTCCTTAGGCCGACCTGCAAGGGTTCCCTTCTGCAGGGCACTGAGCTGGGAATTCGCCACCACAGCTTCTAGCTTTTTCCAGGGCAACTGAAGATTCTGAACACAAAACACAGGTCACCACCACCACGCTCCAGCCTTGAGCCCGTGCCCAACCCTGACTGGGCCCCGGCCTCCTCCCCAGCCAGTCCTGGCCAGGACTGTCCCTGGGCCCTCCCCTCCATGCCCCCCTACTGTGGAAAGCCCTAGGGCCCTGGCACCAGGCTGGCATCTGCTGGCACCATTGTCTTGTGTCTACCTAGCCCTCCGAAGCCATAGCAGTGGGCCATTTCTTTTTCTTTCTTTCTTTCTTTTTTTTTTTGGAGAGGTTTTTGCTATAGGGTGCGTGTGCTCTCCAGAAAGACAGAGACAGAGAGATAGAAAGTGAGAAATCACCCCCTGGGGGGATGGTCACTCCACAGTCCCTTCTCTCCTCTCGGGATTTTGGACACACACACACACACACACACACACACGCATGCCTGGCATGAGTTTAAGCCACCGGGTCCGGGACTCGAACCGCAGTCGACTACATGGGAGTTCAGCGACCTAGCCATTACACTAACTGCTGGTCCTGGCAATGGGCCATTTCTGACATGGAGTGGGAGGGGGAGTGGGGTCTCTGTCCCCATCCCAGCCCCAGGTCTCAGCTGCACCTCGCACAGCACAGAGCTCCTGGCACCCTCACCTCCTGCCCTCCCCCCAGCCCAGCAGGCCTTTCTCCTCGCTTCTAGGGCAGACCTGGGTGGGGCACTTTCCAGAAAGGCTCCTGCCTCTTCCTCTCCCTCCTGAGGCCGGTTCCCCCCACCACCCCTGGCTAGCCAGGCTCCCCTGCTGCCCTTCTGCGGGGAGCCCTGCGCCTGCCTGGCCCCGGGCCTGGTTTACTTGTCGGGGACAGAAGCCGTCTGCAGCCAGAGGGGCCCTGCCAGCTGGGAGGCGGGTTCCACCTGGAGTTTCCTGCCTCCTCCACCCCTGCATCTCTTCCCTCACCAAAGCCTTCTTGTTACATAAAACCCAGAACCTGTCCCAGAAGACACCCCCTCCATTCTGCCCCAGAACCACTCTACTCCTGGCCATCACGCAGCTGCTGTTTCCCTGAAGGCGAGCAGGTGCACCTGGGAGAAGCCTGGCTGGGAGGAAAGCTCTGCTGTGGTTCTCTGGAATGTTCTCTGGTGTTGCTGTCCAGCCAGTCCCACCCGCTGTCTTACAGGTTCTCGGACCACCCCTCACACTGCCTGCCAGGCCAGGCAGAACCCCCCAGCCCGTGCCCCTCCTCCAGCCCATACCTCTCATCAGCTTCCCGGGCAGCTCTGGCCCTCAAGCTGCAGGCGACTCACCACCCCTTCCCTGCACCCCTCTCCTGGGGCTTCCATGCCTCCTCAGAGTCCGCCCGTCTCCAATAGAGAGCAGTAGGGGCAGGCGGCACTGGCCGCCGACACACACACACACACACACACACACACATGCTTGAGGTGAAGTTCAGAACCAGCCCTGAGCGAAAGCAGAGCCTTCAAAGGTGCAGTGCCCAGCAGAGTGAAGGCACTGGATCTAGGAAGCCCATGGTCTCTCAGTGCTCGTGCACCAGGGGCTCCTCCATTTCCCACAAGGAGATGGGGCCCTCTGGCCTTTGTCCAAGCAGTTTCCTTAGCCTGCACACTCTCTCTCGCCTCCTTCCTCCAGATAGCGCTTACTCAGAACACCTCCCGTCTGTCTGAGTCCGGCCTTTCCTTGCTCCCTAGTAATATGCATCACAGAGGCTCTCTAACTGGGTCTCTTTCTACCTCACTGTGCTGAGAACTCCTTTAGGGAAGGCTCGATGCTTATTCCAAAGGAATTTTTCTTCCTGACCCAGTGCTTCAGCAAGCACTGAATAAATGCTCAGTAAACGCTCGCTTGGTGGCTGAATGGAGCTCTGGGGAGCGGCAGTTGAGTGGAAGAGCTGAGTCCACAGCGGCTACTCACGTGTTCAGGGAGGCCTTCCACGAGCTGTGCCAGGCTTGTCTTTGGGCTTCCATTGCTCCGCGTTCCCTGCAGACTCCAGGCTGGGTTGGACGGAGTGGGACAGGGCTGGGGAGACAGTGAGGAGAGAGAATGAGCACACTTGTTACCCCAGCAGTCTGCCTGACTGCAGGGCCCTCCCTGGGGTCAGCGCGTGGCTCCTGCGTGGCTGAGGCCCCAGCCGGAGCGCCCGGCAGGCAGAACCGGCAGGACCCACGCTACCCACAGTTGCCCATGTGACTGCTTCGGGGGTTGGGGACAGAGCCGTCCCTGTCCGGCAGGAGGCCTGGAGTCTGCGCTCACGGAGTTGTGTGCTGTTGGCCAGGCCTCACTTTTTATTGAACCAGGGTCAGGTCCTCTGACTCCAAGTCATTCCAGCACTGACCGACAGCGTGCCTAGCATGGAGGGCTTGTGTTCTGTGGGTCCATGCGTCGTGGACAGCTCCTACCGCATGTGGGGGCTAGCAATCTCTCAGCCAGCAGTCACCAAGCTGGCAGTGGAAGGGGCGCTGTCCGGGGATGAGTGAGGACTGGGCACATGGCAAGAGACAGGCTCATTCCGCAGTCACCCCCCCTTCGGCTTTACACAGCCAGTGCAATGAAAGCACCAATCTGAAGTTTCAGGAGGGAGTGGGGATGGTCAAGGAAGGGCTTGGAGAAGCAGCCGGACCCTTCTGGAAGCAGTGGGCACTGCGTTGCCGAGGTGGGAGGAAGGGGCATCTCTGAGCCAAACCCCAGGGGTGGCAGGGTGGCCGTGAGGCGAGAGGGGGCAAGGCCCACTAGTGGAAAGAACCCACAGTAGGGGAGTGGCCACTGCTCGCACTGCTGCCGACCTTGCAGTCAGCTCTGTGACTTCGGGCAAGGAACTTAGCCTCTCTGGTTTCTGCTGGGGATGATGTTACCCTTTGCCTGAAGACGAGGTGTCTACCTGGCCTTCCTACTGTCCCTTCCCATGCTGAAATCCCCCTCCTCTTCCACTTCCTCCTGCTTTGCCCACAGACCTGTGCTCTGTGTCTGAGTAAAGGGGCCCAGTCCCCACGCGTGGAGAGCCAGGGTGGGATTCCCACCATCTAACCCAGTGCCCCGTGGTGTCCTGAGAACATGAGCAAGAGGTCTGAGGGGACAGGATCGGGAGTATGAAGTGTCCTCGAGGCCAGCCATCCCCTGCCCTGCAGAGAGGCCATGCATTGGCAGTGCTGCTCAGAGCAGGACCTGACCCAGCCAGGTTGCAGCTGGTCCCCACTGGCAGAGGCCTGGGGCTGCAGACCCCGTGCCCACTCACCCAGTCTTCTCTGTCCCAGCCCTGCCTCCCAGGAGGTACAGCTGACCGAGGCCTCCTCCCTGGAGCAGCTCCTCCTTCAGCACAGAAATCTGAGCTTTTGCTGGTTTCCGTCTTTAGCTATGAGCGCCAGCGCTAATGCCAGCATTCATGCCGGCAGGGAAATGCATGAAACACAGTCCTCCCTCACGGGTAGCACCCCAAGTCTCGGGGCGCTGGGTTCCCGGGACAGTGCCCTGAAGCTCAGGGCAGGCCTGCAGCAGGAGAAGCTAGACGGTGTTACTGCTACCCTGTTTTTGTCCTCGTTTTTAATTTTTTTAAATTTTATCTATCTTTTTTCCATGAGTGAGATAGACACAGAGACAGAGAATCAGAGAAACAGCACCCCACAGGGCCCCGACACCGCGGTCCACCCCAAGCCTCAGCCAGAGCTGGATCATGGACAAGTGAGTGCCCTGAGCACTCGGGGAGGTCCTGTGGACTTGAACCTTCCCAAGCGGGTCAACCTCAAAGAATGTCATGTTTTTACCAGTGTGCCACCATCTGACCCCTCTGCCCTGTCTGATAGGCAGAGAGAGTACAAGAGCGGGGACAAAAATGCAACCCATGGCCAGGGCCCCTGGGCCCAGGAATTCTTTGCAGACCTGAGGGAGGGCAGGACTCTTTCCTGGAGCCCTGCAGAGCTGGGAGTGAGCGGCTTCGAGGAGGCTGATCGCCCCAAAATAGACTTGTTTTTTTTCACAACTTTTCCATGAAGCATTGGCATCTCTTGCAGCACGGAAAAAAAATAGCCTGAACTGTTAACAAATAAAGATTATAAAAAGCCCCAACTGTTCCCCATGGGTTTCATGTGGCTCCAGTGTTTAGAGGGGAGAGGGGACGTGAGTGTCCGGGAGCCCCCGGCCCTTCCCTCCTGACCCACTTCGTCCCGGTTCTGTAGAGCTCACAGGGCTTGGCGTTGGTGATGGGGACAGCGACGTGAGCTGACCTTCAGGGGCGTCTGTGGAGTGTGTGCGTGCTTTGCTGCCGCCAGGTAAAGGCACACAGCTCACAGAACAAACCCTGCCACACTGCAGCGAACCTGCCCTGCTGGGAGCCCAGGTTTGTGCTGAGCATTTGCAAAGCCCAGTGTTCTAGTCAAGGCCGTCTAGTCCTGAACTTAGGCCCTTCAGGGGTTGCCGGGTGTCAGTAACCAGGCACGAGCTTGGGGCTGTAGCAGTCTCCGACCAGGTTAAAGGGCTGGCAGCCTTGGGCTGGCCCCATGGCCTAGTGATTAAAGAAGCCACATTCTACATGGCCAATGTGCAGTTCGAATCTTAGCCCTAGCAGCTTGAAAAACAAAGCAGACATGTGTGCCCCAACCCTCAATGAGACAGAGAAATGGAGAAGGGATTGCAGCGTGACCACGCCCCCTTGGAGGGTGCATTCTCCTTGCCCTTCTCTGTCTCTTTATGGCTCATGCACATGCCGATCACAACTTATAATAATAATAAAAGGATTATCAATAAGGCAGGAGATAGGGGATATTAAACGTACAGACAGGATAAAGACCCAAGATAGAAACACAGCAACTTCACCCACGTCCTGGTTCTTCAGGGAGCTCCAGGCGGGACCCGCACAGCCACCCGCACCCTTGGCCCAGCCCTGGGACCTTCTTGGTGTTGGACGTCCAACAGCACAGGAGAGAAAGGTGATGACTCAGACCCTGGGGCTGAGTCAGGCGTGGGGACCTGTTGACAGGGGCCTCGGCAAAATGGGGGTACACCTGAGGGGTCTCTTGCCCTGCTTTTTTATATTCAGAAGAAGGGAACTCCCCCAGCTCTCCAGAGCTCCATGTTCTCCACCCAGCCTGGGGGAAGGCCCACCTCTGCAGTCCCCTCCTTCCTCCTCCTGTGCCACTTACGGCGCCTTCTCCTTCGGCGTGTCTCTCCCACCCTCCTGTCCCTTTCACCACTTCTGCTCCCTAGCCAGATTGCTGCACACACCCACACGCACGCCTGGTGTGGATGGTGGATGCGAGCGCAGGCTGTGAACAGGTGGACTGCAGGGACTCTCCTGGCCTTCTTCGGCCCTGATGGTCCCTGGCCGATGGTGACAGGGAAGGCTAGGAGGTCCCCAAGGTGGTGACCATCCGGGCAGCTGCACCGCGTCGGCCTTCCTTGGACCCGACATCCCTCTCACTGGCCCCACCAACCAGAGTCAGTGTCGCCTCCCTTGTCACCCAGCCACACAGGGCAGCCCGCCCTTCCTAGGCCAGAAATGGGGCAGGATGGCCAGAGAGCAACTTGGCACAGTTGGAGCACTGCTCTGAGGCAGGTCCTCTCAGAACCCTGTCCCCTTCCTCTGGGCAAGAGAGGAAGGAAATAGGGAGACCAGCAGGCCAGAGCGAGGGGGCTGGACCAGGGGCAGGGGCAGGGGCCTGGGCTCAGAGCTGGAAGCTGTCTTCGGACCAGGCGGGGCATGTTCCACAGACACCCGGGCTGCAGGGCCTGGGCATAGGCAGGGCTGGGGGCTGCGACTGGGGGTCCCTCCACCCCCTGGGTGCTGCCTCCACTTGGCCTCTGCAAAGTCTGTTCCCTGACCCTCAATCTTGCTCCTGACCTGCCTGCCTTTTCCTCCTCCTGGGTGCATCAATGGGGAGCTCTTGGGAGCCCGAGGAAGCCTAGGGCTGGAGCAGCCGACTCCAATCCTGGGTGAGCCTGAGAGTGGTGGCCTCAGCTGGAGGCCCTCCACCCGCCGTTTTATAGACGCCTTGCCGAGGGCAGGGAGCCGGGTGCTACAAGGTGCCAAGTCTGAGGTCCCCTGCTGTCCTGCCTCCCCACGGCAGGCCTGCAGCAAGTGGTGTCGTGGGCAGAGGTGGCATGGGGGCCCTCAGAGCCCTGCCTGTGCACCCCAGTCACACTGCTTCACCTGGTTCTCGCTTCTTATTGAAAATCGGAGTTTGCCTTGCACCTCCATCCTCTCAGCGTGGCTCGCTCCCTCCCCACCCCCGTTATCAGGGGTATGCCCAGCTGCCACAAGGGGGGGGGTTTTTCGTTTTTTTGTTTTTG